GAGCAGCACTTATCCCAGGACATAGCTCAGAAGGGTCAGGAAAGGAGGAGGAGGAGGGTCAGAAAACATGGGGAGAGGCTGTTACATTGAGTGGATTGTGATGGATGAGATGAAATGGACTGTGTATAAATTACTAAATATAAGCCTTTGATTATTTGCTCTGTAAACCATCACCCAATTCACAATAAAAATTAAAATAAAACAAACAAAAGAAGTAGCCTTTCTCAGTCTAGAAGCTCTGCTGAAATCTGTTCATCATCTGAGTCCCGTGTAATCCTCCATGTTGGCTGTGCACGAGGGGAGTGGCCAGTTATTTGCATTTAGAACTTCCCCAGTGCTTTGGGTTCTGCTGGTCCTCGGGAGAGCAAGGACCTTTAAGGAGGGGCCCTGGTGGTGTAGTGAGTTACACAATGGGCTGCTAACCACAGAGGCAACAGTTCGAACTCACCAGCCACTCTGAGGGAAAAAGATGAGGCTTTCTGTTTCTGTAAAGATTACAGCCTCAGAAGCGTGAGGGGGCTGTGCTGTGCTGTCCCGTAGGGTTGAAACAAGGCTGAATCAACTCCATTGGTGTGGGTCGAATAGCAAGCGATAAGAGCCCAGCTTAGAGTGGAGTTCTACAAACCTGCGTCAAATCCTGGCAGGTACTTAACCTCTGTGGCTTGTTTCCTCATAACCTGGGTGGAGGTGGAGGGACACTACCCCCACCCCAGGGCATTGCCATGAAAACTAAACGCCAAGCACCTGCAAGGTCAACACAAGCACAAGGTAACTAACTGCCTATAAAATGGTAGCTTTTACCAAAAATTCCAGTGTTACCCAGTTGTCTTTTAGGAGTTAGGCTTCTGATCTCAGGCAGAGCTGTCTCCATGACCGTTTCTGACTGCTGACTCACTGCCTTGCCTACTTCGTTGTTTTTAACCAAGTTACAGCTCAGGCGCCACCAGGTTTAGCTGACCAGGGAAAGGTGTAGGCATGGAAGAATGTGCACTCCTTAGTGTACCTTCAGACTCCGATAGTGGGGGTGCCCCGGCTGCTCCCAGCCCACTGGGTCTGGAAACCCCGGGGTCAGAGTAGGACTGGGCTATTTCTTCTCCGTGGTAGTTGCTATTTCCAGTTCATGTTTATGAAATCTATATAATTTGAAGGCTTTACCAAGAGCAAGCCTCCCCTCTGTGGTTGATTTACAGAGTCTTATTTACTCTCATTACAAGTCAGCGTTCCGGGCCTGGGCTCCCCTGGGGTTTCTATGGCTTGTGCCTGGCCCAGTCACAATTATAAGGCTGGCCAAACATGCTGACCATGTCATTCCAAGCTAGCAGACACAGCTCCCCTCCCTTCATGCCAAGGGTCTGATTATGGTTGGGGCAGAATTCTGCTGCTCTGAACAATCATGCTTCTTGCTGTGGGTTGCCTGCTTAAGGAGCATGGATGTTCTGGGACAATGTGCTGGGAAAACTGCAGGATGACAGTGAAGACCATCGCCAGGAGAGCCAAGGACCAATATCCCAGGATTTTCCATCAGTCATGGAGATGGTTTTGAAAAAAAAAAAAAAGAAGAAATTACTCTGGAATTTTGGTGCACCACAGTGCATGGGGTCCAAACAACAGTGAGGCGAGCCAATGGTAAGCTTGCTCTATCAGCACCCTCATGTGCAGGGAGTCCTACTTTAAGCACCTCTCCCCAGCCTTTCTCTAGCTCTGGTTTCCTGTTGAGTATTGTATGCATCTTAGTCTCTGAGAGAGCGATGCAAGATTGCCTTCCTCCAGGAGGGATTAGTTTCTTGGACCTCCCTGGCTGCAAGAAGAGGTTCTGAAGGCATGGCCATGTTTCTGTTAAAGACTCATTCTCTATTCATGCTGAACTGTTACCCACCACTGTGATGGGCTTCCCCTTACTTGAAGCAACACTATTATTCGTCATACATGACACAGTTCATAGTTATAATGGAAAGGATAAATAACTGGCACTTTTGTTTCTGCTTTTTTGGGGGGCACTGATTTCAGGAAACTTGCAGCTGGGTTCTAGAGGCCAAGCATACCTTGCTTTGACATAAAGGAATAAGAGAGACATTTCTTTGGTACGGAAGACCTCTTCCCGGTAGCAGGTAGCAGGTAGGCACCTCCTCACGCATCAGAAGGCCCCTGAGCCTTCCCTCTACCCAGGAGAGCAGCGGATGCTCTCTTGATGGGGTTTCTGGCCAGGTTATTCTCTGCCTTGGGCTTAGTACCCAGGGGTCCACTGAGATAAGACTACTGGCTTAGAACCACATCTACAGAGAGGGCCCCTAGAAAACAATCCAAACCAGTTAGCATCAAGCTGATTCGGACTTGGGGCAACCCATATGTTTTAGTAGAACTGTGATCCGTGGAGCTATCTTTCAGAAATGGATCGCCAGACCTTTCTTCCAGCGGACCTTGGGTGGATTCAAACTACCAAGCCTTTTGAGTGAGTTGTAGCCCAGACCTTAACCATTTGTGTCACCCTGGATTCCTGCCCCACTCCACCCCCAGCCCCAGCTATAGAAGCGTGGAAACTTGAGGCAATAGGCTCTTAAGACAATAGAATTCTGGAGATGGAGGAGGGAGAAGACTTTCTCCATTGTAGGACTGTCGGGAGAAGAGACTTGAGCTAAGAGCCTCAATCACCTTGGAAGGGTGGGTCCCTGGAGAGAAATCCCAAATCCAAGTCCAGTCACGGAGAACGTGGAAAGCAGAGAAAGAGGAGAGAGCATGCTCCAGAGGCGGGACAGGCCACGGGGAGAGGAAAGGAGCTCCAGGAGTTGGGCTTATAGCAGGTGAGACCTTGTTCCTGGATGTGGCTAATCCAACAGAAAGGTTAAGAAACAGAGGGAAGTATTATTTCTTATGTCGGCCGTTGCCATTTAGCGAATGCACCTGCATTGGAACACAGAGCTTCAAGATTTGGTGGCAATTTTTGAGAAAAACTAAAATGCACATGGCAGAGCTGGAGCCCCGAGTCCCTTCCTTTCAGACAGTAATCATCGTTATTATTTTTAAAGATAACCCCTTGCGGAAGTGCTCGGCTTTGCCAGCAACAACAACGTTGAAAGTGTGTTATGATTTGCGGCTGCGGAACCAGTGTTTGACACGGAATGGTGTTCTATTTCAACCCAATTTAATTATACGCTCCTTTTATATCTCGTAGATGGCTTGCACTAGCAGAATTGTTGTGCCTGGTGAAAAAGTGGTCAGGACTTGTCATAAGGGGCAGGTTTACGGAACCGCGGAAGTATAGTTACTGCCCATCATGTGAGAATTATGGCACCATAACCACCCTTTATTTACATATACTGCTGAGACAGTAAAAACAGCAAATAGATTTCTTAAATCGAGATGGCAGAAATCTCCCCCCAGGGTACTTGGCGCTCATTGTGGAAGTAACATATGCAAGTCTAAATAATTTTGGTCTCTGCTTTTGGGCACTGCATCATTTCCTGGGCAGTTTATAACGTTCTAATAATAAAATGACTCTAAATTTGGAGTTGGGCTGCGTGAATATTAGATGGTAATATGCGCAGCAGAATCGCTAAGTAATCTGTGTGGAAGGTTTAAATTCGCTAATCACACCACCGCTGAGCGACCCTGCCCAGGGGCTGAAGCAAAAGCAGGGGTCGGCGGCGAGGAGCAGGCAGCTGAGCGGGGGAACAGGGGAGAGCCTGACCTAGTTTCCACGAGCATAGATCTGGGTGAAGTCAGGGGGTTCCTTCATCTGCAGCCTCGCAGGACCAAAATAACCTCGGCCTTTCCCCCCCAACAGTAGAAATCCTCTATCAGTCTTTGAGGGTCTGTGCCACAGAGGGGGGGTGGCACCATTAGATGGTTCTTTGTTCTTCAGGATGTGTCTTTTGGAGAAAAAAAATTGGGAGGTAAATGCATCATGCCTTCATGGGCTGCTGTCCCGACCCTTCATGTAAAATTCCTTTTTTTTATTTTGTATTCTTAACTTTCTCTTGCTCTACAGTGCAATCACTGGTCTTATTTTCAACACGCACGTTTCAAGAGCAGCTGTCTTTCCTAATCCTGGGGTGAGTTCACCCCGCCCTGCCCCGCGGACTAGTTCCCTAGTTCTTGTGGACAGCATTCTGTTTGCTGGTCAGCCCATGTGTCCTCCATAAACCACAGGGTCTTTTCCATAAACGTTTGGGAGGTAGATCACCAGGCCTTGCTTCTGAGGCACGCTTGGGTGGCCTCACACCTGACCTTTGACAAGGAACCGCCTGTACCGCCAACAGACACCGTGCATCTCCTAAGCCTCTGTCTCTCATCAGTGTGTCCATCCAGGGAGAGGCCGTATGGCCAACCACTACTCACCCTGCAGTGAGTGATTTTGGGGGGCTCAAGTAGACAAATATTTTTTAAAACCGCGCCCAAACCCCAAACAACAAACCGACCTCTGTCGAATTGATGCTGACTTATCTTTACCCCATGGGACAGAGTAGACCTGGCCCCAGAGGATTGCAGAGCCCTACAGAAGGACACTGTCACATCTTGGGCTCTCTGGTGAGCTGCTGGGGGTCGGGGCCAGTTAGCAACCGAGTACTTAACCCGCCATGCCACCGGGGTTCTACCACATACTTAATCAAGGCTGTGGCCCGAAAGATCAGTGAGGCCGAGAGGGAGCTGTGCGTCTGGCTCTGTGGTGCCAGCTCCAGCCTCGCCTGGGGAGCAGG